CTTGAGACTTTTAAACCCTCTTACGCATTGAGCAAGGTGAAAGACGAAAACGATGCCATCCGAAATCGGATTACCCAATTTTGACAAGCGACGCATTTCTCAACCAAAAACCCAATAAACAAACCAGCCATGGATAACAGAAGAATCTTGATAGCAGCTATATTTCATTTTGTACATCCAGTGGAAAAAGACAGTTAAAAACATCACAAGTTGAGACAAAACTCTGTCAGCTTTAGCTGTCAAAGTAAACAACTTTCAAGATGCTGCATAAATTTTCCGCATGAACTCACCTGTCAAATTTTGACCAATCAGAGTACAAAAATTGGACGTAGAGCGTGACCAACGCGTGACCATGGTAAGAAAAGGTCTTCCCCGCCTTTATTTTTAAAATGGTGGCTGAATTTTCGCGTCTGAGGTCAGTTTGAAATCAAAATCTTGACAGTGCGGGGCAATAGTGACATAAACACCACATATTTCATATGAATCATTGGAAAAAATAGACTTGAGCCTGCGATCATTCGAAACTGGTAATTTGTCAGCGGATAACTTCAAAAAGTACTTGACCTCGATGGGTCGACACTTGAGCCCGCGCTACGGTCAGGTGATACTGGTCAGCGGATATCCTGTTTTGACAGCTGTCAATTGATCACAACATTGATGTGTAATTAGTTTTCTATTGGGCTCCCAAACTATCTAGAAAGTGTGAGAGTGAACATTGGTTTCCCTGTGGTGCGGACGGACGGTCGGGCGTACGGTCACGTGATTACCAAATTTTCTCGGATGGGTAGATTACCACATTTCCTTAGCTATGGGGCTCCGTCCACGCGCGCGCTTCGCGCGCGGGTGGAGCTCCGCTATAAAAAAATATATATTTTACTTTTAGCAGTGGGGTAGTGGTTAGAATATAAAGACGGCCCATTATATACCATTTTACTAGCTGTCAACATATCAAAAGTAGAGAAATTATTAATTAGTATGTCCATCATATACAATGATTGGTATACAGTATACAGTTAGAAGAAAGAAATGGTTTGTCTTTGGTCTCATAATTATCATTGCCCTTCTCTTCATTTCAAAAGATTGTTAAGTTCTAGCCTTAAGGATTAAGTTGGAAGGCAGCGCAGTAGTATAACCATTCACTTTTTAAGGCAAAATGGCTTTGTTTCTGTTACAGTGCTCAATATACCTGAGGTTCAAAAGAAAAAAAAATACGTTGCGCCCACTGGCAACTGCCTTCTAAATCATTAAATCCTCCACATTTTCGTACAGCTTCTTGTCGTAGTCATTCATGTTGATAAGCCTCTGCGAGAAAAGAAAAGTACGTAAAATGCTCGTTACTTACCCACAAACTAACGCGGCCAACATTACTTTCAAGATAACTGAGTATTGTATGACAAGGAGGTCTATCCCACACCATTGCGAATACAGCCAAACATGCAGAAAACTAGAAATCCGTTCCATATTCTGCGATATGAAACGGGTCATATTTCATGAAAAATCCAGGCAATGCTTGCGGCTTCCACATTTTCCCGCCGAATATAGAGCGGATATAATCACTATAATCGTGTTATGTGCAAAAACAACAACAACAACAACAACAACTTTGCATGTGTAGCACACTTTTTTGTGCATTTCTTTGACTTTGTTATGCACGACCACAGCTTGAAACTTTCTAGTTACACGTTTTATGTAGGAAATGTCGTACGTTTTTTTTTACGTATTTTTGTTGCTTAAGTTCCTGTTCGCTTTCTTATTTACTGCCGCTCATTTTTACCATAATTGTCACCACCGCTTTAAGATTTTCATGTTGTGTTTCTAACGAAATTCGACTTCTTTGATTTTTATCTCTCGCTCTGGCTCTTTCTCTGTCAGCTCAGATATTATAATTTAGTCAAAAAAGACTTGGCTTTGTTGTTGTTTTTTCTCTCTAAAAGTCCGGGTGGCCAAGATGACCATAACATCGACGTTTATCACCAAGTTAAACACAGGTTGCAGGCTCCACACAAATCAAAACAGGTTTTTTTTTACATTGGTTACCCTGTGGTGCGGACGGTGACGTGACCACCAAAATTTCTCGGATGCTTGGATACTCAAATTTTCTTACCCATGGCTCTCTACTGGAGAGCTCCGCTATACGAGTTTTAACTAGCATTCAGACTTCTTAGAAGTCAAAGTTAAAATAGTAATACAAAAAGAATTCAAACGGACAATGTAACGGACAAACAAGTTTGGGAACTTTCTAACCGAGAGCGACACAAACAAAGTAGTTTACAATAACGTTGCGAAGACCGATATGGATACACACCTGCACTTCGAAACATAAAGCCTAACTGAAATCGCGTCAGGAGCATTCGACAGCTGTCTTGCTATTTTCTTCAGGATGCAGGTAAAGTAGACAGAGGAATACGAACTTTATTCATTAACACGCTATCGATCATTTGGACATTGTTAGAGACAGACTACATTTGGGACAAACCTCGATTTTCCTCTGCGAGGAACCTAGCTGAAAATTTGTATGATAATGTATATTTAGCCTCTTTCAGGAGAAACATCATCACCAGCTAGCTAAATTTGCTTTTTGGTCTGATTCAGATGATTGGCTCGACCCGTCCTACAAAGCTCGACGTCTGACCCAACAGACGATCTTAACTTAGTTTAGGTTGACCCATATTAGAGTTTGGTTCGTCTCATGAAACGTTCGACGTTTGGCCTAGGGCTAGGAAACATGAAGTCACTCGTGGGATATTTTATGATAGAAGACATTTATAACTAGTATTAATATCCCACACTTGATTGTAATATCATTGTGACATGAAAGGTACATATATTTTAGAACATCCCTGCATATCTCGAAGTAATCATCGAAAGCAAATAGACTGATGTGGGCCCTCAAAAAAGGTGATCATGTATCAAAACATTTGACTAAACACAATACAAGCCAAGGTCCTTAGGTACGAAGGCACAAATTTCTATTTTCCCTGGACCGTGCCTTTTTTTGCGATAGTGTTGCTTATACCTTGTGTTGATTTTCCATTTTCTTTAGTTCACGTCCGAGCAATTCGAAGGTTGGACGATTATCGGGATTCTCTTGCCAGCAACTGAGCATAATCTGGTACCTGAAGATAAATATTAAAGCATTAGTGCAGTCCATAACCTAAACGAGTCAAAGAAATCCACTAGCAGCTAACGAAAGCTTTTTAGCCATTTTGTCCTAAATTGTTTCCGTGCTACTGCTCTTGAAGCTAAGACTGGAGAGAAATAGACCTTTTGCATTAGTCATGATCGAGTGATCAACTTTCGCTAAGTACGAAAACAGTTCGTTTTCGAGAAATTTTGTTAGCACGAGCTGAAAGAGCATATTAAAGTAAGGAAACCTGTTATATTTTAGTACCATATCTCAAAAGTAGCGATTGCAACTGCCGCCAAAAATTAGAAGGATTTGTATGAGAAAAACCACTTTCGCCACCCAGTCACACTTGAATGGTTTTCCATACAACTCCTTGTAAATTCTGAAATTTTTAAACTGTCGTTAAATCTTTCCTTTACGCATTTAAGGTCTCAAACTTCCTGTTACGTAGTAAAATGAGATTTGAGCCCCGTAACATTAACGACAGTTTGAAAATTTCGAAATTTATAACTGAGGATCTGTATGGAAAACCATTCAAGCCTAACTGGGTGGCAGCAGTTGTTTTTCTCAATTCAAATCCTTCTAATTTTCGGCGGCCGTTGCAAATGCTATTTTTGAGATATACGGCTGGAAATTTACAGGTTACCTAATTTTAATATGCTCTTTCAGCTTGTGCTAACAGAAATTTTCAAAAGCGAACTGTGTGTCCATGTTTACCGAAAGCTGATCACGTGAACAACTAATGCAAAAGGCCTATGGCAACAGGTTAATCGAGACATCTTAGGACCGCCCATCGCTAGAATGTTAATGGTATAGTTACTTACGTTAACGTTGAGATTTAAGGTTAAAATGGTACATGGTGGATACCTGTCGGAAGTGCGAGGGCTAATGTTTAAACCCAAAATTAAATGTAGTTGAAAACAAGACGTCTACAATCCACTTACACTTTACAGTCACATCTTCCGCTTATAATTATCTCTGTGGCCCATGAGAATCTAGGCCTCCTATGATATTGCAATCGCTGATTCTTTTAATTTTGTCTAGGCTTGTTTCGTTTTGTTTCGTTTTGACTTACAAAGTGTCATCTACGTGGCTTGGCTTTGGCATTCTGTAGCCCTCTGCGAGCAGCGAATACATTTTCCTTCCTTCAGTTCTTGGATAAGGTGACCCACCTCAAAAATATGTGTTAAAATTTGAAAACGGTAGTAACTGTGTTCTGAGTTCGAGCAGAGTAGTTTTCATCATACCTCAAGGAAGGCGAGTTAAAATTAAAATTGCCAAACAAGATAACACAGGTAATAAAGTAAAAGTATAGGAAATTTTCAAAGTATCATACTCTTGGTTCTTCTGCACTTTTTCGTAATTTTGAAGCAATGACTCCAGAGTTGTAAAAGTAAACGTTCTTGTGAAACCAGTGTCTTCTTTCCTTTTCAATTCGTGATAATAGATTCATGCTATCATTTGGTATTCGAAATTTTTGAGAGAAAATTACATTGGGGGAAGGTAGTTTCTGACCATATCTTACCTACGGTGAATATCTCATAAAGCACAACTCCAAAACTCCATCTAAATCAAAACAAAATAGTTGTTAGAGACTTAAATACATCTGCATCAATGAAAAGTTACAGCTAAGATTACTTAGAGATACGGCTACGAATCACCACGTTTTCGTTAAATTCTCAGTTCACTAAAAATTGCTTGTTCATCAGATGTTGAAAATCAAAAATTGAATCTTTTGGTTTCAACTCACACATCACTCTTTGTAGTATACAGTCCATACAGAAGTGCTTCATAAGCTGTCCATTTCACTGGAATTCGTCCCTGTGTCAACACAACATTCTATTAATATCAAAGTACCACTGACGATGGTAGGATCGTTTTAGGCAAAAGGTTATCGCCTGCTTTAGGGGCACAGGAGTTGTAATTTCCGCAACAAACACTTTTTTTGTTATAAATTTAAATTATTTCGCCGCTTCTCATTGGCTCCAATCCCCGGGCTAATTCTTGATACCCAACGGACACTGACCACATTTGGAAGATGTGAGCAATAAACGAGGTTGTTCGATGGTATATTTGATTGGAAATGAGGCTGCATGGGCAACAGACCATTGATCAACTTCGTTTCCAAGCGTGGCCACCTAGCTGTTTATTCGCATGTGAACTAAAGTGATGTTCATGACTATCCGAGGTAGAAACGCAAGACATACGCAAAACATATCGCTTGATGAATGTTAATTACTTTTTGAGGAGTATCTGCAGAAAACATTTATATCTGTTTATATCCTGAAACCGTGCCGAGAAATAGGCCGTAGTTTAGAAGAATTAAAGTCGCGTGGAGGTAAGCTTAGAAACTTGGAATTCGGCCTCAGTTTCGCATGATGTGAACAACTATGCAGTCTATGCAGAACTCGGAGGCTGTTAGAGAACGTGGGCCGCCGTTGACTGAGTAAATATACATGTATGCGTACATGCTTACATGCTTTATTGTAACCTCCCCAAAGGAGCTTTTCAGTAACAATGATTATATTACCTTATTTATAATAACTAATTACACCACTTAATCTAATACTAATTACCATGTTAGCTAATTACTAATTGCAATGTTTTAAATTTCACTATTAAAGAAGTATTTACAAAATTATCTAATAGCTGGCTCCTTAAGGAACGTTTAGAAATTTGAACAGATGGGCTTAAATTAAGGAAAGATTCCAAGTTGTTCCAAAGCTTCACAGTCCTGTAATAATAATTTAACAATTAATGAATGAGGCTGAGTATCTTATGAACAATTATGGAGATCGAGGAGGGTGTTATCCGTCGAGGCCGTAGGCCGAGGCGGATAACACCCTCCGAGATCTCCATAATTCTTCATATGATACGAAAGCCGAATTCAATAATTGTTTTATTATTCATTCAAAATAATTCCTAGTTTAAAAACATAGCTAAAACATGCTTACCTCCATCGATCAGATTGATGTTAAGTTCATCTTCGATAGTGCACGTTTAGGGTTGTTCAACTCCGCAAATATTCTCCAAACAGCAGATGTCGCCCTTCGAGTTGTCTTCTTGCTGTTCTTGCCATGTTTTTAGATATAATTTCGCTTAGTTCTTACTCTTGAAACGAGTGAAATATCCGCCATTTTTGTTTCCACAATCAAAACAACTAAACCTCGTCCACAGGTCTTCTCGGTTAACGGTGCCTTAACCTGCACGAACGCTGCATGTTTGACGTCTTTTCCTCCTTAAACACAAAATTCTTCCAAATTTGGTCATCAGTAACTGGTTATGGTGAATTATGCGTGTGCTTTTAGCCAATCAGAATTGGGGAAATATTTTGAATGAATAACAAGAATAACAATTATTGAATGAGACTGAGTATCGTATGAAGAATTATGGAGATCGAGGAGGGTGTTATCCGTCGAGGCCGTACCCGGGTCGGATAACAACCTCCGAGATCTCCATAATTCTTCATATGATACGAAAGCCGAATTCAATAATTGTTTTATTATTCATTCAAAATAATTTTTAGTTTAAAAACAAAGCTAAAACATGCTTACCTCCATCGATATTAAGTTCACCTTCGATAGTGCACGTTTAGGGTTGTTCAGCTCCGCAAATATTCTCCAAACAGCAGATGTCGCCCTTCGAGTTGCTGTTCTTGCCATGTTTTTAGCTATAATTTCTCCTAGTTCTTACTCTTGAAACGAGTGAGATGTCCGTCATTTTTTGTTTTTACAACCAAAACCACTCAACCTCGTCCCCAGGTCTTCTCGGTTAACGTTGCATTAACCTGGAAGGACGCTGCATTTTTGACGTCATTTTCTCGTTAAACACAAAATTCTTTTAAATTTGGTCATCAGCAACTGGTTATGGTTAATTATGCGTGTTTTTACCCAATCAGAATCGGGGAAATATTTTGAATGAATAATAATGCATAATAAGAAGCAAAACAAACCAATTCACCATTTGAGATTCACATGACATGTCGACATATTCCTTTTCTTGGAAGCGGAGTAAGCTTGAGTTAGAAAGTCAACAGTCAACAGGAAAACAGCGGTTCTAGTTTTCTAACATTTCCAGTTTTTTTTATAAAGCATTTGAAAGGTGTCAGTGTTATTGTCGTTGATGAGATTACTGAACTCGAGTGAAGCAACTCCCGATCCTACCTGCAGTTATCGGAACATTAAACAGTTAAATGACAGATATGTCCAAGGAGAATTACTTTTTGACAAGATATTCCACAAACCTTGCTCTTCTTCTGGTAAATATTTTCCTGATTTACATCTATCGCCATTCCGAAGTCGGTAACCTTGCATACTTCTTGCTCCCCAACCAAAACATTGCGAGCGGCAAGGTCTCGATGAATTATCTAGAACAAACAATAAACAATATTTATTTAATCACTGCAGCAAACATTTTAAATATCTTCTAGTTCGCAATTCTCGACATGCACTACATGTATTTTCAACTTGCCAACGTGTTAATCAACTACGTCAATTACTCAACTGCATATTTTTTGTCCGGATTCGTGTGGAAGGGGTCTCAAACTCTGGAGAGCGGTTTCAAAATAATGCGGTTTCAGTGGCCGGATTTACTGGTTTCATGTTGACGAAAGGTTGATTTGTGTAAAAGACTATGCAGTTTCAAAAATATCCGGATTCGTGTGGCAGCCACGTCTACACGAATCCGGATACGCTGAAACCGCATACTTGATATTTCCGAGGTCCCACAATTCATTGCAATTAGTATCATTTGTTCAGCATAATACACGAAGCATTCAGAAATACCCTATTATGAAGGTTTCTGCGGAAGAAATTAAAACTAACATTTTTGGAAGACAAATATCTCATTCCTTCAGCCACATGCCAAGAGAACTTCATCAGCTGCTGTGACGTCAGACTTGTTTGAGGCTTAACATCCGGGTCCTTAAAATATGTATCGTTCAGCCCACGGCTCCTTCTAAGGTACCCCAGGAGATCACCATACGGGACATGTTCAATGATAACAAGTATCGGATCTGTGAAAAAAGGCCATACAATGATATAAGAAACTAGAAACTTAAATTCATATATATCAGACTGGCTCCTGATCTAATAAGTCCCTCAAGGGTACTAAACCTCTTTATCAGTCCAGGTCATAACCCTTTCTGGATATTGCTGACGTCATCAAAAATGGCTTCTGGTCCCGGCCTCGTCTTTTACTACTCTTATTTGAGCCTTTGCGGATTTAGTCCTCAGTTATTTTCCTTGAAACTTTGCGAAATTAAAGGCAAAGAGTGACTAAATACAACAAGCGAATGCATGTAGGTGACAGTTTCGGCTGTGATTGCAAGGAGAAATTCAGTGGAAAAGTTGAGCCGGGGCATCTGTGAGGTCGCCGATTGAGGAGTTGCCTCTCTTAAGTTAATGTTTTCAGGTATGTAGCATTTTTTTTCATTTTTGTTTTGGTTCCTACAAAAAATATTTTATAAAACTAGAATAAATTTGCTTCCGATTTGTCGAAATTCCTGTCGAGTGCCCAAGACTTATTTCGAGTGCTCGGACGTTGAAAGTCTAGTTAGGTAACAAACTAGGCGCTGCCTTCCTTTGTTCAGAGCTGTCGAAGACTTTTGTAATCTTTAATTTAGAACTGTTTGTGTTGCAAGGCATTGCAAATTTTTGTTATTTTTTGAACTTAAAATCCAGATGACGTGGCCTGATATTCCGCAGTTTTGAAATTGCATTTATAACACGTGTATAAGCTTATGTACGTTCGTGTCGTTGAGATTCCAGGCATGAAAAAATAAAAACATTACAGTTTGTCGTCTTCGTGGGAAAAATAAGATGTGGAACAGGATAGTGACGTGTCATGTTCTGATAATCCTCTTCCTAGCGGGCAGATGAAACTGTAGAGGATTACAAACTTTAACTAAGCAAATCTTATCATTGCCGGGATCATCGCTGTTTGCCTCACATTTAGAGGTCGTTTCCTATGCTCTTTGTTTCGGACAGGAATTGGCCTTGATTTCCTGCTATGCCTTGTCACGTGTTGTTTCCAGGGTGCTGAATTTTTCCCGTATAGTGATTTACTGACCCGAATTAACACGGTATAAAACGGCGGGGTCTGTATGACTGAACGACTTTTACCTCATAATAAAAAATGTCACTTTCTCCGGTTCTCTTCTTTCTGGCGGGTAGAAAATCCTATTTTGCCGCTGGTGTCACGTTGAGAAGTCAAGAGGCTGACCTATTTTCTTTTTTTTTTTTTTCCTTTAAATACAGGATTTGATCTCTGGTGCGATGCGGTTTGCAGCATTTTCTCCCGGGAGGTGGGGGTTGTACTTGGGATAATGTTTGCTGGGTATGTGTCGCTGGCCTCTCAGAGCGCCTACCCCATTATAGACCGTCATTTTTTGGAAAATGTAATTTTCGCGATCCCAACTGAGTCACTTTCTATTTATACATCTAGCTACCTTATCAATGTGGTTCCAAGCGGCCGAATGTAATGCGGTCAATGCGAGCCTATTGTTAAATTTAATAAACAACAACTTTCTGATTTTTTTTTTAAACCGAGAATCTTCCCATTTTTAAACCTCCACTCCCCCAAAAAACCCAACATTTGGCGCCCCCTTGCAGATACCTTATTTAAAAATCCCCCCAATTAAAAACCCCTATGTTGGGAAAAATGCACCCCACCCCGCGGCCCCACCCCCATAGCCCTTTTTAAGAGGGGACCCCCCCCCCCCGCCCGGGGCATTTTCTATGGCTCGGCGGTTCAAAGACAAAGACGTGCAAATGTTGAATTTGTACTGGAAGGTTTCCGCCTCACTCTTTCAGAGTGGGGTAATGTCAAGACTTGTATGCTTAATTTTTCCAATAAATGACTTATTTTTTTCTGTCTTTCCATGCAATGTTTATTACTGAATTTTGTTTCGGCCGATTGCCGCAAATGGCTGTAATCAAAAAATATCCAGCCTCTACTCATTTCCAGTATTCTTCGGCCAAGTTTATTTTGTTTTGGTTTTGACTTCAACCAATCACAATGCGCGAAACCGGTATCCAGAAATGCTTATGGCTCGAACAGTTTATAGGAATCTAATTAATTTTAAAGTTTTGGAGCAGGTGTCTTCATGCTGCATTGTTTAAGATAGCCCTCCTATCGCTGTGCTGGGTATGAAGACGAGTTCTAGTTTTGGCTCAGTAAAGTCAACCCTGAACGGCGTCACTACACAAATCTGACCCACAGAATGCAGGAATTTATTGAACGCCACGGGTGTATCACTTGTTAGCATTGTATATGTTTGGCTGTGCGATGCCGGGGTACATTTTGTAAGATAAACACGTATATTTCAAAGTCCAAAAAGTGACTCCAGAAACATCAGCAGGTTTAAAGACTGGGTAGATTTTTTTACACCTACAACTAAAACAGAGGGAAAATTTAATTTCGTGTCAAGTGGACTTTTTGGGCGCGTCAATGGCGTTAAAAGTGTTTATCTTTAGATGTCAAAGGTAATCAGCGAATACATCGTAGCATTTTTTACCGAAGGATTATTTTGAAATTAAAACCATCACGTTACATGATTATGTAAATATTGTTACCGCTTTCAGTAACACATCCCATCAGCTTTATAACGTGTGGGTGAGGTTTAAGTTTCTTCATCACTTCAAGTTCTGACATCAAATCCTCTCTGTCAGTCTCGCGGGCGTTATCTGCAAGTTTAAGACGCGCTAAGGAAAATCGTAAAGGGTAACTCCCATTTTAACCAGACAGGGTTATCATTAGCAAGAGGACAGGGTTTTCTCTAGGTACTACAGTACAAGCATGAACTCAGCCTGGGTTCTTTCATGGGAAACATGAAGAAAATAGACCCAAACGAACCTCCAGTACAAGCTGTTCAATTCGTCTCCTAATTGTATATATCTTCACGGAAATGTCTAATTCTTAGTGATAGCCTAAAAAGACGAAATGACTCCTAAAACGGTATGTTAAAATTCTTTTTACTCCGGGATTTTCTGCGCGTTTGCTCGCTATTTTGCTTTCCTAGTGGTGCGGACGAACTCTAGTGCAAGTGGAAATACGGACGTGTTAGTAAATGTCTCTAACCATCTCCTTAACCCCTATTTACTAAGTAAGATATATCTTGATAGACTCACTAGCTTTTATGATCTCCGGCGATCTTTTTAGCCTCAATGATAACAGTAACAGTAATATAAATGCATCTCAATTTACTTCTTAATAATGTAGATATTATTCTCCTCTTTCGTTTACAAAGGTTAAAAAACCTAGCCACTATTGCCACTATTGTTGAAAATGCCATTTAATTTCGTTTAATATAAAAGTATAATTTTATTCTTACTTTTTTCTGTTCCAACCTTCTTTTAACTTACATGTATATGATGTAATTAATATAAATTACTATTTTATCTGTGCCTGTGTTGCGGGTCAACACCATGTTATATATTTGTTGTCGTTATCGTACAGTTGTTCGGTGTCCTAGGTATGCCCCTTCTGCAACCGGATCTTCTTTAAAGACACATGCCATGAAAAGGAAAACATAACACAGTCTTAGCCGGAAAGGGTACCTTTCAACATCTTAATGGCCACTCTTGTCGTTCCATCTCTCCCTCGCAGCTCTGAGGCTGTTCCTTGAGCAGCCTGTCCAAATGCACCTTTTCCAATCACTTTTTTAATGGTGACGTTTTCTCTTGGAACTTCCCAGGATCGAGTTGCTGGATGCAATGGAGCATATTCATTAATCTCCAAATAAGGTGATGCCTCTGTTCCTGTTTCTGCTGGTTCTCCAGGGAACTCTGTAACTTCTCCCAACTCCATGTAGTGTCTTGGACCCGGAATTTCACGCTCTCCATTGTTCCCGCTTTCATTTTGGAAACCTTGGTTCTGTTAATTGACATAATACCTTGCAGATATTTTTGAAAAATTATCGCCAACCACAGAGGATTCAATAGCTTTTTCGATAAAATGAACTAATGGGTATGAATATGCTTAGTTATTTATCCTGAGGCCTCAGCCTGTCTCCCCAGTTTTAGTACTTACCAAGTGAGATCTGTGTAATTCCTTTTGACTATCATATTGTCTAAGTAAATAAAACATCTTATCAGATAGAAGCAGTGACGTTTACTCTACATTGTTTACTAGATATAATACAAGTATAAAAAGTCATATAGACATTACGTGGCGTTTGCAACTTACCTATCAGCTCGATGACCTAATTTCAAGAACGAAAAAAAATAGATGTTTACAAATTTCTCATTGCCACGTGGAAGCCACTAGTAACCAAACTATTGGAGTGTTAGGTTTAATACTTAACCTAGGCAAATGTTTGGGAGGTGTGTTGTCACATACTGAAAGAAAATAATAAAGGAAACGTAGAGCCTAGTAGAAAAGGCTTGCAGAAGTCCATGTTGAGTTGGGAAGATTTGTGACACTCGAAGGAAACAAAGATGATTGGGTTACCTAATGTATTGAGTTTGATGTCTAAAATGCATTGAAAACTTGTTTTGCATTCCAAATCAGATGAGAAATGAAAATGATTCATGTTACTTACGTCTCTGGTACTTCATTACCAAGTATATTAAAGCTGAAATAACCATCAATCCCATTATTCCAATGACCGGTCCATATATTGCATCTTTGTTAAGCATTCCAGTATTAGATGAAACTGTTGTTGAAAAAGGTGTGGCAGTCTCTTAAAAAAACAAAGCAAAAAAAACATATCAATTTATATTGATCCTATTTGTAACATCCAAATATGAAATCACTTTAAAAACGCGGCAAATAAAGTTATACAGAGAAAATGCTCTGAAAACGTCTAAAAAGAAGTATATAACGTATAATTTTTAAAGATTTTGCAAGATGGTTCTTAAAAGAATTAACCACAGCAGCTAACGTAAAACTAGATAAAAAAAAATGTTTTTTCTTACGAAACCGTGGTATGCTAACAGTAAGCGAATGAAAGGCAAAATTTTGGTTAATTATTTAATTCTTATTATTTTTTCTTCCAGAGTGTAGAAAAATTGAAAAGATGGCGTTTGTTTCGAACGTTAACCCTAACATTTAATTGCGAATCAGGTGATTGCGGGCCGTGTGTGGGTTTTATGTAGCATGTTGGAGTTACACGATTGATGGCAAAATGGTAAAGTTACGAAGAATAGATTTGCTGAATGAAACAAACCCTTTGTAGGCCAGGTATTTACCTTAAGATTATAGCATTGATACTGGGACCTGCAGATTTGTCAAAGGACGAATCCTTCTCGGAAAGAACTGTTACCATCAAGTTTAAACGGCTACCATAATAATTATCACAACCATCGTTAGGAAATTCCAAAGGATCGTAAGTAATAACAAACCTCTTCCATAAGAAAGTTGTTACGCATAGTTACGTGACTTTACAATCAGGCATGCAGTTACGTAACAATAAGATCTCGATGGTGTCACTGGCATGTCCGTAGATATTAGTTGCATTACACCGATATCTTCCAACATCCCTTTCTGTAGCAAACTTTATTTCCCATTTGCTATTGCTTAACTTGTCGTTACTTTCAACGTGCGTCCAAAAGACAACTGGTGCTGGCTTCCCAGAGACATTGCAAAATAAAGTAAGAGATTCCCCTCTAATGACAACTTTTCTTTCTTCCAAAGGTTCGATTGATGGAGGAACTAAAAATTGATAACCGAAAATAACTGTAAGGTAGGAGTTGAGGTTTCCCTTACAATGAACTCTTAACTCTTATCTATTTTCGTGTACACTGGCCCCGCTTTCCTATAATTTCTGTAGAATATAAGGTAAAAACAATTCGATCGGACGGCAACTTAACGAGAAAAATACAGAGCCAAGTGTGGCAGCCACTTTGGACTGAGCTGTACGGCAAGACGCCGACTGAACAGATACGTTCAAAAACAAAATACAAAGTGAACTAAAAGTGTGATGTTTCTTAGCTATACAGTAAGATCTCTAATGGAATTTTGCTAACGCTACCCAAATACACATGTAAGTGTACATGTATTAAAGGTAAGGCAAAATTGTTTTCCTCCCGTAATGCAGAAAAAACCCTTCTAGTCTTCTGTAAACTAGCCCACATGCGTAATGTATAAAATTTATAAAGACGTATTAGTGTCAAAGAAGTGCAAAGAGGACTCACAATGTACAAATACGGACGAATCTCTAGTAACAACACTTCCAACACCATTATAAGCAGTGCATCTGTAGGCTCCTTCATCCAATTGTCCAATATCGGTCAAAGGAAAAATGACAGCACTGTTATCCGAAACCCTTGTCCAGCTGATTACTGGAGGTGGATTACCATCTGCTGAGCAGTTGAGAATCTCACTGGAGCCTGCATTCAGTATCTGGTTGTTAGAAATGTGTGTTACGACTGGAGGGTCTACGTAAAAAAGAAAATAATAGAATATTAGAGAGCTTTGGATTCTGAGAAGAGTACGACTACGAGTACGAGATTCTCACAATACCAAGTAGGGCTTGCGCGTGAACCAGCGACATTTTGGCGGGGAAACATGATTGCCGTCGTCATCCTACCACGAGTTTTAACGAGAATGTCGTGGTATATAACGGAAACAAGTTATAGACTGTTGGAGGTTTTATCATTTTGCAGCCGGGAGATGGCTTAAGCTCCTTCAGTAAAGATAACAGTGCTAATTTTTTGGCGAAAAAGAGGTGCAATGAAGCTTTTCGTGGTGTCTATAACTTGAGAATACGCGAAAAAACTTTAAGTCAAATCTCGTACTCGTAATCGTTCTCGTCCTAGAAACTGAAGGTCTTTATTAGTTACAGTCAAGGTTGGTTTGCGTTAGACTGCAATACAAGCAGTGCTTTTCAAGTCAGTCGAGTAGAGGCTTGACAGACCTAGCAAGAGCCAACGAGTACGAGACGCAAAAAGAAATTCACACCTCTTCGTCCTCCGTTTTAAACTTGGCAGGAAGTAAACATATCATTAATAGCGGAGCTGCATGCGCGAGCAAAGCGCGCGCGAGCGGAGCGCCACAACTAACATAATTTGGTAAACTATCCATCCGAGAAATTTTGGTTATGACGTCAGCGTACGTCCGTCCGTGCGGACTTTCCGGGTAGTGGAAAGTAGTCCGCATGGACTCTTGGGCTAGGGGAAAGAAGAGATTTTTGTCGGGAAATCGCATGGCGCAACGTCGGGCAATTATATCGCGCAACTGGTTTTGAAAAAAGAAATTTCAAAGCAACTTAGCAAAGAGATTTTTCGACAGAGCCTTTTTACCTTTTTATTACAACTCTTAAATGTTGATCAAAGATGATTGCTATTTTTCGGGTGTATATATACGGCTATCAATTCGATGTAAGATTTTTTTTCACTCTATAATCACTTATCCTTAGCTTTCACGAAAAAGTCACATATGTGCCCTTAAGTTAACTGATTTGTGGATTGCAAGTTTATTGTTTGATTTAAATTATAAATTTATTAATGGGAGCTTCGCTTTTAGCCCTGGCTAAATCTATATATTAATAATAATAACAATAATAGTAGTAATAAATACATTCTTCTATGGCGCATTTACAAAGCTCAATGCGTCTTACAATGATTTACAAACAGAAGATAAAGTCAAAATCCTTATATAAGAAAAAAAATAGACATACAGGAATTGTTTGGAAAGTGAGCTGAAATACAACTTTGATATAATTTCACATTGGACAATCAAGCCGTCTGATCACCCCAAGTCTGTTGCATATCACATACGAATGATACTCTGCCCTGTTCTATCTTTCTGCAAACATGAAAATTACAGACAGATATCGCTAAATTCAGCGACGCAAGAGATACTGGAAAGGATTTTATTAAGACGAAGTAATCTTAATGCAGGTTTCACTGTACGTATTCTTATGATTATTATTCCCTTCACTTCTACATCTACATCTACTTTAATACTCTTCAAAGCTATTACACATCAAGAAGAGTTAAAAGAATAAAAAATATAAACATAGCTAAGCAAAAAATAATGAATAAATAAATAAATAAATAGAACATGTAATTAAGAATATAACTATACTTCAAAATAAAACTTAAAATAATTTTGCACTGGAAAATGCTGAATAATTAAGTGATCTGGTTTCAGGTAATAAACAGTTCCAGTCCCTTATGGTTCTCGGAAAGAAACTATACTTATAGTAATCATGATGTACAGATGGTTGAATCAATGAATTTCTAGTTTTGCTAATAGAAAATTGATAATAAGGCGGAATAGGCAAAGCAATATCATTGTACACTGATTTATGGAAAATTTGTAGACGGTGGGATTTTCTTCTCTCGCTTAGTAAACCCAAAGATAGCGATTTCTTCAATTTGGACACGCTAGTGTTATAACTATAATCATGTTTACAGTCAAACCAAGTCAAGCGTACCCCCCAAGATTCTATTAATGAATTGATTATTTGAAAAATGAATCCGTTTGTCGTTCCCGTAACTGGTGTCAAATTCAAAGCGGCATTTCTGCATCGATCTGCAGGCGTAATGAGCAGTGAATATTTTACGAGAACTTCTCTGTATTTGGTCAGATTGGAAATCTTCGAATGGATTAAGCTTCTTAGAAGACATTTACATCAATTTCAGGAACATGGAGCTGGTAGAAATTTCATAACTGCCTCGCGTGTGAATTCACGGTTCATTACACATGCAAGAATGCAGAGATCAATCTGAAATCTACAACTAGCAACGGATTCAACTTTTGAATAATAAATTCATTAATGTATTCTTGGGAGGTACGCTTGACCTGGTTTGACTGTAATAAATCTCACTGCACGACTTTGGATAGCTTCTAGATTCTCCACTTGATTCTGTCTATAAGGATCCTATACTGCAGTCACATACTCTAGATATGGTCTGACAAGTGATACATAAGCTGCTCGTTTGGTTTCTTCAGAGAAGGCATACAAGTTCCTTCTTACAAATGCAAGTGAAGAGTTCCCCTTTTTAGCAATCTTGTCCACATGAGAGTTCCACCGCAGATCGCTGGACAGCAAAACACCTAAATAAGGATGTTGCTCAACAGCTATCAGGGTTTGGTTGTAAAGGGTGTAGTCTTTTACTACTGGGGATCTACTACGGAAAACAGACATTTTGTAGCATTTGGAGGGATTGAACAGCATCTGCCATCTATCAGCCCATAGGCCTAGTTTGTCTAGGTCACGCTGTGAAGCCAAGGTGTCATCATTATGAGTGATTTTTTGATACAATAAAGCATCATCAGCAAACAATCTTAGTGTACATACTAAATCATCTTGCATATCATTAATGAATAACAAAAATATTAATGGACCTAGTACTGTGCCTTGAGGTACCCCTGAAGTCACATCTACAGATTTTGAACACATGCCATCGATTATGACACCCTGTGATCTACTAGTGAGCCAAGATTTAAGCCAAGTAAAGGTACTTCCCTTAATGCCATAAAACTGCAATTTGCTAATGAGGCGTTGATGGGGTACTTTATCAAAAGCTTTACTGAAATTTAATATGATCATATCCATTTGATCTCCATGATCTAAGTTCATGGCCAGGTCTTCAACAGTCACTTACAAAGCACATCGACGAATGTAGTCACTGACTTATTGCCACACCTATTGCGTGCTTCACATCTGTANTGGCCAGGTCTTCAACAGTCACTTACAAAGCACATCGACGAATGTAGTCACTGACTTATTGCCACACCTATTGCGTGCTTCACATCTGTACTCTCCACGTTGATTTCTGTAAATATCTATCAACCTCAAAACATTTCCTGGTGTGTGTTGACCACTGCCCTCTTCTATCCAAGCAACGATGGGTTAAGGGATTCCAGACGCGTCACAGGTTAGATTCCAGCTTGAACCTTCAATCCAAGTCTCATTTTGTATTGATTGGATGGATGACGGTACTGCAATCAAACAAAAATTACATGGAGTCCCAGAATAAATGTTGAAAGATTACCGTTATATTCTTTTTATTGCCGTTTTCTTCTTAATTGGTTTTCTTGGCACGAACTGACGTTCCATATAACACCAGCTTCACGACGTAAGAACGCAGCATAGCTAACTTTGGAAGGAACGAAAGAGTCATGTATGAGAGGACAACAGACGTGCCATCTTTACAATATATATTAACATGTGAACAGTAAGCTCGGACGTCAGCATACAAAGGCGCCACTGGCAGCCGCTCTCAGTCCATTTATGAGCTTACTGACGCACCCAGCCCATGATGTGAATGATGTGTGAAGGTTGGCCCTACCACCGGGGTCTACGTCCCCTACTCTTTTCGAACAATGGTGTGGGTTTTTTTACGTCCTACAAGAACCAGATAAGAGTAAGTGCTGTGAGACGGGACCTGCGTTGTTTCGTCCTCATCAGAGAAGACTAGAAAGTCTAACCGTTCTCAGATGTCATTACAAAGGCAGCACCTTCTTCTCGGTTATTTAAAGACCCTGAGTGTTCTTCCGGCCGGGGTTCGAACCCTTGGCCTCCCTCTCAGCAGACTGGCGTTCTCCCAACTGAGCTAACCAGGCTAACGGTACATGTACATCTACAATACACAGGATAGTCTTTCTTGTCGAAATGAAAAGCGATCTGGTATTGTATAAAAGCCTGTTCAAACTGTGCTGAACAGTGGCACAGAAACCCCTCTGATATAGCTGTGACGACACACTTTCAAGATCAGCGCGACACAGCTTCTTACGTTATGGTTTCCGTGCCGGCTAAAGGGGTATCTGTGTACAAAATATAGGAGTAAATTGCATTTGTCGACTCAATTGATAAAAAATCTTGCTAGCAATTCTAGTCTCTTCTGTAAGAATGGCACAGTAGAATTCAGCGAAAACTACGCAGTTCCCGCCTGAACGGGTAAGGAATCGCTTATTTCGCGAACAAATTGAACAAATGTTTTTGAACTGGCAACTAAGACTATTCGAAAACGATACGTGCGGGCGTGATTTTCTTTTATTTTTCTTTTTCTGTTCAAAACCGAAAAAAATCATTCTTCAAGAAAAAGGGAGGAGGGGGCCTCAGGCTTTCACATGTACAAGTGACAGTACCTCCAACATAAAACGAAACATTTGCGCTGTTTTCTGCTCCTACAAGGTTGCTGGCAACGCATCTGTAGATGAGCTCTCCACTACTTGATAGTGATCTGGCCAACATTCCTGAAGTGTTACTTCCCAAAAGAACATCGTTTTCAAAAAACTGATAATACCAGACTGGTGGACTAGCATCAGCTGAGCAGCCCAGAGACACAGAATCGTTCTGGCAGGCTTCATCCCCAATGTTGGTCGCTACCAAACGTACATTCTCAGGTTTGACTAAAAATAATAATTTAATATGCATTTTCAGGTGCAACGACAATTACTGTCAACACCCTGTAATCATGCCATAAGTTTGGGGATATAGGAAGAATAGCGTCAAGGTCACTTTAGAGTTAGATGAACGTATATTTGTCTAAAATGCGCACTACAAAGTAGTTTTCCGAGGTGTTATCACTTGTTTCCTCTCTCTTCTATGTAATCGTTTGGGTCGTATCGATGACCCGGTTCGTCTTAAAAGTGCCCTTCAATCTTCCGACAGTCGGGAAGACTTATCTAGGAAGGGTATTTTACAATGTTTCAGCAGGCGAGACAATCATATGGAACACCTCTCATGCGTTACAAGACGATCCGTACCGTTGGGTTGATCGCAACCTGTATACAGGCCGGCATTCAGGCGATTGAGACGATCATATAGAAACATTTCTGATGCCATTCAGGACGATCCGTACGATTGGGGAGATCTCAGTACACTGGGTTGAAATGCAGAAGTCTGTATATAGGCCGGTATTCAGGCGATCGAGAGGATCACATGGAAACACCTCGCGCGATGCGGGTGATCGTAAGTCTCTGTATACATGTAGGATAGTATCCATATAACCGTCTAAATCGTCCGAATGTTTTGATGGAAGTTTAACAGGCAAACACTAAAAACTGAAGGAGCAGGGATAGAACTGTGTACTACTTTACCCTGATCCTGCATCATTATGATGTTGAAGAAATATTAACAAAAGGTATTTCAGCCTGAGAAAAGAGCCAACATTTCGCGACGCCACCACTGGATTCCGCGCAAAATGAAGTCTGAGGAACGAGCGCAGAAATTCCATGATGCAGCACTACCTAGATCTGGGAAGTGCTCCTGATTGGTTGATAATTTGCTTCATCCAATCAGAAGAACTGCCCAGATCTGGGTAGTGACGCATCATCAGTGTGGCGGTTATTTTCTCAAGCTAAAGGAATTTATGAGTTCTTAACAACATTTCACGCTCTTCTTAAAATACAGAAATTCTCGTGATTGTCAAAATGCCATGGCATGAGCGACACCTTTGCAACTTACATGGTACGGTGATGTTCACTCTCTCCACTGCATTGCCACATTCATTGCTGGCCTCACATCTGTATTCCCCAGCTTGACTCCTACTAACATTAGTGAGCTGTAGCAAACTTCCATTTGTGCGCTGTCCACTGCTAACCTTCACCCAGGAAACAAAGGGTGAACGGACACCAGTTGCCACGCAGACCAAAGTTAAGTTGTCAGTCTCGTTAACTGTCCTATCTAGTATTGGTGCGATAGTCGGTGGCACTGCAATAAAATAATGGAGAACGTAAGAGGAATATTGAAGGCGTAGGTCTACCTTCAAGCAATTACCAAGAAACCTTCAAAGATTTGACTAAACAGGTGCCTCAACTTGCAGAAAACGCAAGATAAATTGCGGAAAAGACAAATACGGACTGAGGGCAAAGCTCCTGCAGAAGATTAAAACGGTTTCAGCTAAACGTGATGAATGGCAGCCAGCTCTATTTCAGTTCCATTTATCCAATAGATAGCATTGTCACTAATGAAAACCTAGGGGCTGAATAGGTACAGAGTGCCGTTTAAACATCATACAAGAAACACAGTCAAGGAGGTACATACGAAAACACCGCAAAAGGAAGCGAATACTCTCCAAAATTCCTTATCATTAACCAAAAAAGTTTATTAATAATTTGAACAACTACATAAAACAGGCCACCCTGCGAGCACAGCCTGAGCGTCATTTTTATTTCTTAATCATGGATGAGATTTTAAGGAGGCTCTGCCTGAATCGCGACTGGCCTTTGAAGTCACCGCATCCCGAACTCCTGCAAAAGTCGATCTTGTTTTCTGGCTTTTTCGAGTGTGAGCATCCGTTTACTGATAAACCGATAATCATAACTGAGCCTGCTGTACCAAGCGCACAGCTATTAGGCCTGTAATCGAAACTTTATCCAAGCAGCATTTAATGCATGCTCAACAAAGATTTTAATTGATACAAGCAGAGTCTTTCTCGAGTGCGCCAACATCAAACTAGCAATAGAAAGGCTCCGCCGGAAGAATCAAAAGAGGCGGACATGAAAACGAAATTCATGATTACCATTAACGGTGATGTAAACACTCGGGCTTTCTGCGCTTCCCACAGAGTTGTTTGCCACACATTTGTACATCGATAGTCCGCTGTTGGACAGTGTTTGAGCCAACATTCCTGTGTTGCTTTCCCCAAGATCAGTGTCATTTCGAAACAACTGATATGAAGTCACTTCTGGATTAGCATCACCGACTGAACAAGTAAGTTTCAAGACGTTATTCTGGCATGCTTTGTTTGCACTGGCGTTTGTTGTTAGCTGGACGTTCTCTGGCTTGTCTACAAGGAAACAAAATGATTAAATTAACATGACATAGTTCAATCAACAATTAATGTGGCATTATAACTAGAAAAAATCAAAACGTTGGCCAAAAGACGTGTTTCACTTGTATATGTGGAATTCGATTTCCTTCAAAAACAGTAGAACATAAAAACAAAAACGAAAACAATAATCAGACAACCACCAAACACACCAGAACTTTAATGCGACTCTCCAGGTACTCTTTAGCTTGGTTCGCTTAATTGTATTGCCATCACAGTCCCTGTACTACGGTGCATATCAAACAAACGTTAACCCACTTTTTAAAGAATATCCCCTAATAAAACAGCTCATAAAATCTTGTGAGTCTTTAGTCAGAAAGCCGGTCCTGTGCACCAAAAATGACAGTCTAAAAAAAGGGTCCACAAACAATCCATAAGACAGTGAAAAAAAAAAGTCGCCACTGGATTAATGCCCAATGGGTTTTGAAGAGTAGGGCAATCAAATTTCGTCTAAGTCAAGTTTATTTCTATGCATAATCTATGAAAGTGCTCAATTCCCTCGACAATGTCTTGTGTAAAGTGTTCTTTTTTTTTTTATCTATATTAGGGCAAAAGGGGAGCTAAACAGACCAGTCAATGTGATGTCAATTTCACAAATTTTTTATTCAGGGTCTCTCTCCTTCCCATCTGCTGATAGGGCACGGCAATTCAAGAGAGACCCCGGACACGACGTTGTCAATGGCTCACAAACCATATACTCGTACAGGAACCCTAACACTGCCTGAAAACTTAAGAGGGAGCTAAAGCATCGACGATGGCGATGGCAACGGAAATTAAAAAGGATAACGGTAAAACAGCAATATATAGGGTTAATAAGCAAAACAACTTTGCAAGTGCATTCCACTTTCTTTTCTTTTTTTTTGCGAGACTACGACATGAACATCCCTAAAACAAACGATTTTCTTTTTCTTTTTCTGAACTTAGATATACCGTATTTATTCGAATAAGCGCCCAACCTCGAATTACCGCCCACCTCGAATAAGCGCCCATCCTAAAGGCAGAAAAAGTTAATAAGCGCCCACACCCTCCTCCTCCCAATCAAACTCAAATAAGCGCTCACCCCCACCCCACCCACGTGAATGAATAAGTTCTAATAACAGACTTCTCCGAGGACCAAATTTTCTTCAGAGTATTTTACAGAAACCTTGATTTCTTACTTCTTTGCGTTTTGTTATTAGCATTTATCGTTTTGTTGAAAAATAAACATACTTCACTTGCTGAAAATGGTGAAAATTTAATAAGCACCCAGCCTCGAATTAGCGCCCGTCTCGAATAAGCGCCCACTTTCAAGGTCCAAAAATTTAACAAGCTCCCAGGGCGGTTAATCGAATAAATACGGTAGTCCTTAAGATATAAAAAGAAAAACTCCAACGAAATTTGCCGACCTCAATTTTGACATTGAATAAGGCGGATTGATAGCGATGATGTTTGGAACAGGACCAGCTCACTTTTTAAGTGACGTTTTTGTCGTCGTCGCTGACGTTGTTGCCTAAGCTCCCTAAGGATATGGAAGACTTTGGTGAACTCCGTCCATTACTTACACTGCACGTCGATGTCTTGTACCTCTGACGCATTACCACACTCATTGCTGGCTTCGCATCTGTAGTCTCTAGATTCACTCCTGTTAATATTGATAAGTTGTGACACATTACCATCAAAGCGTTGACCAGTGCTGATTCTCACCCATGACACGACTGGCGGAGGAGTGCCAGATGCATTACAAGACTGGTTCAAGTCACCACCTTCAGTTATTGTCTTGTTTTGCAAAGGCTGGATGGTCGATGACACTGGGGTGAAAAATCAAAATGAAAGTAAAAAAAAGGAAGACCAACCGCTGTTTCTACTGCACAGATAGCACAGATACTAAAGCTGTATGTGCTACAGACGACTGGGTGAACAACTTTTTTCAAGGGACATATAGATCGAATATGCAAATGAAATTCTGTAGCTGTTTGTCCAGCAGAGGCGAGTTGTTCAAAGCTGGGTTTAGTGCAAAATTTGAATACAGATATGAAAGCTTAAAAAGCAAATTCAGTTTATTTATTTTTTGTCCACAATTATTGGATGCTCCAAAAATGAAAAGAGAAAATTATCCAAGAAAATACTTTTGATTAGCGGGGTTAACCCCAGGTAAGCGATAATAGGCGTTCAAACAACTGGGCCCAGAAAAGTTTCGGGAGAACTGGCAGAAAAGTGACTGTACATGTGAGTACTACAGGAGCATGTGCTGTGCTTCAGATATAAATAAACTGACACTACTCGTGCCCTTTAAACGAGTCCATCCTATAGTCAAAAACATAAGACTATGAGTTCTAAGGAAAGAATTAATAGAAACAGAAACTCATATGAGTTTCTGATATAAACCATTCGAAAATAGCAAACAAGTACTCGTCTCATCTCGCATCTATTTGTACCTCCTCCAGTATCACACAAAATGCCATCACTCTTAGCACAGTTTAGTTGCTTAAAAAAGTCGAAACTACGAGGGGAATCTGGGAATCTTCCAGGAACAAGTCTACACGCATCTATTTAATTAAGAAAACTTATTGCATACAGTTTCTCAGTTATGACATATATGTGTGCACCCATGATGTCACTGATGTTCTTCATTAGACGCTGATGCAGCAGAATATATACAGTGAACATAGAGATCAGATCGTGCGTAACTGGAATCAGTCAAATCAGTCTTAAGTATTAACATGAGTACCAACGTATTTTTGTGGTCTCACTTACCATGTACAGTAATGTTAACAGTTGCGCTGCTTGCTGATCCAATGGAATTGTTAGCTACACATTTGTAGACAAACATGCCTCCTTCTGACAGTGTTTTCACCCACACTCCTGAGGCACTTATCTCCATGGGAACGTTATCTTTAAACAACTGGAATGACATCGCGGATGGAACACCATCGGCTGAGCATGTGAAGCTTACTACATCATTCCGACAAGATTTATTTGCAGTGGCATTTGTTCTCAATGGGACATTTTCTGGTGGATCTAGAATGGAGTAAAAACACACATTAAGAAAGTATCATTTAAAGGGCAATAACTATTGCTGCTTTAGTTCGATTTAGTTTATTAGTCATTGTAGTGCCTTAACCCATACACAACAGTGCATTAAATATAACATCCAGTTTATAGCCTTAGGTAAAGCACACAATAATTTTTGTCCTCTGGTTGTGCAGTATTTCTATGACTAACAACTCACAACATTTACCAACTGCAATTTAAATACAAAATTAATGTTGTTTCTGCTGTAATAATTATCATGATATCCATATTGCCTTCCACTTTACTATTGTAAATGTTGAGATTATCCTACAGTGTCAGAGCATCATTATTGTTGTTATAATTATTTTTCAGAGTATAAAAAGGTTTGATCCATCACTAGATATGAACCAATGCAATGTCTTATGCTAAATCTACTCACACTGCACAGTAATGTTAACTGCCTCTACTGCACTCCCACACTCATTGCTAGCTTCACATCTGTATTCTCCACCTTCACTTCTGTTAATGTTGGTAAACTCCAGTACACTGCTGTTTGTGCCCTGACCACTGGCGACATTGATCCAAAACACAGTTGGCCGAGGGTTTCCAGATGCATTGCAAATGAGACTTGTATTGTGACTTTCAATAACAAACTGATCTTCGATTGACTGAATGGATGCAGGAACTGCAATTTAAGGGACATTTAAGATGTAACGGTTTTAATTGCTCTCTCTCTTTAAAAAAAAAAAACAAACAAGTGTAAGGACAGAGTGCATGCAGAGTATTCATCATACATGTACAAAAGCTTGTGTCCATTATATTTCAGATCTGTGATTAAAATTAAAGGACAAGGCTGTGAAAACAAACTCAGCAGCAGGGGAATATGCAAGTACTGCATAACATTAAATTTTCATAACCCTGAAGGGCTGGTACCTCAATACCGTAAACCCATCGCCCCCCCTCCCACCATGTATATAAGCCTCTCCAAATATAGGCCCCACAAACCGGTAAAGAATGCTCAAAAATAAACATTGCATTTTTTTAAAAATTTGGTTTATTAGGAAAGCTAGTTTATGAAGGTTTAATTTGATATTGGGTTTTAGACATCTCCGGTTTAACCAGAACACGCTACCCTATTTACCCGTGAGACACCTGGAAAAAAGTGATATACTGTAACAAGAAAGGAACTGACAAATACAAGCAAACAGGAAACAGGAGAGAAAACATGACACATTCCATCTTTTTTATATAATCATTATTGGCCTTACCATTGACAGTAATGGAAACATCCTGGCTGCTTGTTGTTCCTGCACTATTGTTTGCCACACATTTGTATGTTAAATTACCACTGTTCATCACAATTTTGCTGAACTCTCCTGAGCTGCTACTGCCAAACAGAACATCATTCTCACACAACTGATATAATGCCACTGGTGGATTTGCATTAGCAGCTGAGCAGTTGAAGAACACAACAACATTCAGACATGCCTTATTAGAAGTGACATTCGTTTTTAACTGCACATCCTCTGGTTTAACTGAAAAGATAATCAGAGAGAAAAGAACCCCCTTGAAACATTGTGTGAAAAAATTAAATGTTAATAAATAACACATAATAAGGTGCAGGGGCTTGTCTGTGAAAACTGATCATAACTGATGTGGAAAACATTCCTTGGAGATCTGTTCAAAACAAATTGAACAAAAATAATGTAAGCTTCTACATTGTTTTTTTTTCTATTTAGTTAATCAGAGAGAACAAAAGTTTTAAATATTAGTCATTATTCATTCAAAATATTTCCCCAATTCTGATTGGCTAAAAGCACATGCATAATTCACCATAACCAGTTATTGATGACCAAATTTGGAAGATTTCGACTTTAACGAGGAAATGACGTCAAAAATACAACGTTCTTACAGGTTAAGGCACCGTGGGAACGTGGCTGAGTTGTTTTAGTTGAAAAAAAAAATGGCGGACACTTCTCTCGTTTCACGAGTAAAAACTACAGCTAGAACTAGGCGCAATAATAGCAAAAAGCATAGCAAAAACAGCAAGAAGACAACTTGGAGGGCGACATCTGCTGTTTGGAGAATATTTGCAGAGCTGGACAAACCTAAACGTAAACTATCGAAGATAAACTTAACATCGATGCAGGTAAGCTTGTTTTAGCTATGTTTTTAAACTAGGAATTATTTTGAATGAATAATAAAACAATTATTGAATTCGGCTTTCGTATCATATGAAGAATTATGGAGATCTCGGAGGGTGTTATCCGCCTCGGCCTACGGCCTCGACGGATAACACCCTCCTCGATCTTCATAATTCTTCATAAGATACTCAGCCTCATTCATTAATTGTTAATTAATACTTACAATACAAACCATTAACTCTCAAAGCCTTAATTTCTCAATTGTCAGTAGTATACTATGTTGGAAGATAAGCCTCATTTTGGATTTCCCTTGGATTTCCCGCAAACTAATTTGGATTTCCTGCATACTAATTAAGTGCCTTCCTCCATATATAATGAGGTGGATAGGTTTACTAATCAGCGTCACTCTACTAAAATAGGAACAATAGACCGGCCCAAACTTGCCCGGTCTATACCCACCCTGATTGGCTCATGCAGAATCTATTATGTCTCAAAATAAAAGCGGGCTCTCCGTTCAGCATATTGCTCTTGCAATCGCTTTGCTAGGGAATAAGTCTTACCAATATTCTTTAAAACATTGCTCCAAACATGCAAGTCGCATCGAGCGCTTCACCTCTGCTGACAGAGGATAAAGCGAGTTCCTTACCCGGTCAGTTCTGCCCGTTTCATCCCCGCTCAACGTTGGAATTGGTAGAAAAAGCGCAAGGATTTTGCTATGTGTACTGCCCCGAGAAAATGTGTTTGATGTTTGCCCCTGCTTCAGAATGGAAAGAGGACATAGAGTGAATCGCGCATCATACACACTCTGATGTGAAAAAATATGCAGCTCAGTTGGTCTGTGATTGTTCTAACAAGCTAGCATTGAGAAAAAGTAAACAGCCTTGGAGCCAGATTCGAATGTTTTTGATATGCTACAAAAAAGAGTGTGGATTTTTCCTGTGGATAGAGCAGCCAATATTGCATGGTATCAAGGACTGGCTCTCGTATTCAGCTCAGCCACAGGTCACAAGATTCCAACCTTATGGGGAGATAAAGGAGATGTTTGGAAAACGTCGCCAAGAGGCTAAACAGAAAGCATTTATCCAACACCAGCGCTATACACGCAAATGTGACGAAGGCTTTGAAATGTGTGACAACGGTTTTAACAGTCTAGGAAGTCCTAACATCTTTCATGGGCTTAGATACAGAGACTGGATGCATGAAGTATGGGAATCGTACAAGTTTTATGTTCAAAAAATGACTCTCGAGACGACCCAGATGCTACACTTTGTCTAGAGAAAGATGATGTACTGCTTCAGGCGTACTACAAGTACGCATGAGAGGACGGGCATCACCCCGAAAGTTACCAGGTGTTGAAGGTTTTGTATGAAAGGCACATTGAAGGCAAACACGTACCTTTTCAACGTTATGTTATCACCCCTGAAGAACGTGAAGAGATTGAAAACTATAAACAGTTACCTTGCACAAGATGCATGCAGATTAAAATGTATTGCTATGCTTAACAATATAAGGAACCATAGGTCTTCCTTTTTGTTCCAAATAAAAATGTTACATCACTGCCTGTGTGGAAATAGAGCTGTCTTGAGATCCTTTGAAAGATTTTTAAAGTTTTGTGTGAAACAAAGTTTTATTCATCTTTACACCGCGTTAGTCACTAATTATGTTTAACAAATGTTTGACTCGAGCTCTAAAATTGGCATGTGAACTAGCTCGTGTGCCTTTTGTTTGACAAACAATAAGTCATACCCAACACCTACTCTGATTGGATAGTCCCAGATGTATTGTTCGGTGTCAATAACAAGACCTGAACACTACATGCAAGCTATTTTACACGAAGTCTTGTTTCAGTTCGAGTCTCAGAACGTCAGTTCCGTTTACCCACAACAAAAAAGCAATATGGCTATAGCAAGTTTACTGTTGGAACCCCAAACACCCTCGGAAAAGTGTGGAATATTGATGTTGAAAGAGAATATCGGAAACGTAGCTACCTGTTTCAAAACCCTGAACGGGACAATGGAATTATCACAGAAAGCTTAAGACAATTAAAAATGTTCATACCCCAGCAAAGCTCAACAATCATGTTTCATTGCTTTTTCGGAGAGAACTTAAGCGAATTTGAAATCGCCTGGGAGGTGATAAGTCTCCTCCTGGAACTTGTACAAAACGTGATGAAACAAAAAGATGAAGCATTCGCCAAGGTGGTGTGGATACAAATAGCAAACCTGATCAAAATGGTCCAATTTCGGTGTGGAAGTAAATTCACCATTTTACCCACTGACGGTAAAAACTCTGACCAGTGGAGACGAGAGGATCCTGGAAACCGCGAGGTTAGTCAACTCACCGGAATTCGAAAGATTAAGAGAAAACGCAAAATACGACGACTTAAAACACTGAAAGTCAAGAATCCCAAGCGATCCAAACACCAGCAATAGCATGAAGTTATCGAGAATCGGACACTTTTTAAATGAGAAATTAGAATAAATGTCCTACCGTGAAAATCGATGCACTGTGAATCAAAAAAAGGAAATAAAACGTTTTTTTGTCTGCCTATAAACTTTGTTAATCATTTGCTACTTAATGATTGTTGCACGTTCCGTTAACCGGTAGTAATTTGCATCTGACCCATGCCTCTTTTGTGCTCTCATAAATTAATCAGAGCTGGTAGACTCAGACACCAAAACAAAACGTACATTACAACTTTCGCTATTCACTGTCTTCAAAACATACTTTACAACTTTTGCCAAGGGAGAAAATTTAG